CCTCCTCATGCTGCTGCCAGGTCCAGAGTCTCTCATGGGTCCCTGTACGGCCTCCCATTGCTGCTGTCTCCATCGCCACACTCTGCTGCCATGTGCCACTTTCAGGTCTCCTCACACACTGCTGGTGTGTTTGAATTTTTTGACATAGGGTGCTGGCAGATTACGGGCCTCCCATAGCTGCTGCCAGGCCCTAAATCTGCCATGGGCCCCTATATACCGCCTCCTCATGCTGCTGCCAGGTCCAGAGTCTCTCATGGGTCCCTGTACGGCCTCCCATTGCTGCTGTCTCCATCGCCACACACTCTGCCATGTGCCACTTTCAGGTCTCCTCACACACTGCTGGTGTGTTCCAATTTTTTGACATAGGGTGCTGGCAGATTACGGGCCTCCCATAGCTGCTGCCAGGCCCCTAATCTGCCATGGGCCCCTATATACCGCCTCCTCATGCTGCTGCTGCAAGTCCAGAGTCTCTCATGGGTCCCTGTACGGCCTCCCATTGCTGCTGTCTCCATCGCCACACTCTGCCATGTGCCACTTTCAGGTCTCCTCACACACTGCTGGTGTGTTTGAATTTTTTTGACATAGGGCTGGCAGATTACGGGCCTCCCATAGCTGCTGCCAGGCCCCTAATCTGCCATGGGCCCCTATATACCGCCTCCTCATGCTGCTGCTGCCAGTCCAGAGTCTCTCATGGGTCCCTGTACGGCCTCCCATTGCTGCTGTCTCCATCGCCACACTCTGCCATGTGCCACTTTCAGGTCTCCTCACACACTGCTGGTGTGTTTCCATTTTTTTGACATAGGGTGCTGGCAGATTACGGGCCTCCCATAGCTGCTGCCAGGCCCCTAATCTGCCATGGGCCCCTATATACCGCCTCCTCATGCTGCTGCTGCCAGGTCCAGAGTCTCTCATGGGTCCCTGTACGGCCTCCCATTGCTGCTGTCTCCATCGCCACACTCTCTGCCATGTGCCACTTTCAGGTCTCCTCACACACACTGCTGGTGTGTGTTCCATTTTTTGACATAGGGTGCTGGCAGATTACGGGCCTCCTCCCATAGCTGCTGCCAGGCCCCTAATCTGCCATGGGCCCCTATATACCGCCTCCTCATGCTGCTGCCAGGTCCAAGTCCAGAGTCTCTCATGGGTCCCTGTACGGCCTCCCATTGCTGCTGTCTCCATCGCCACACTCTCTGCCATGTGCCACTTTCAGGTCTCCTCACACACTGCTGTGTGTTGAATTTTTTTGACATAGGGTGCTGGCAGATTACGGGCCTCCCATAGCTGCTGCCAGGCCCCTAATCTGCCATGGGCCCCTATACCTACCGCCTCCTCATGCTGCTGCCAGGTCCAGAGTCTCTCATGGGTCCCTGTACGGCCTCCCATTGCTGCTGTCTCCATCGCCACACTCTGCCATGTGCCACTTTCAGGTCTCCTCACACCCTGGTGTGTTCAATTTTTTTGACATAGGGTGCTGGCAGATTACGGGCCTCCCATAGCTGCTGCCAGGCCCCTAATCTGCCATGGGCCCCCTATATACCGCCCTCCTCATGCTGCTGCCAAGTCCAGAGTCTCTCATGGGTCCCTGTACGGCCTCCCATTGCTGCTGCTCTCCATCCATCGCCACACACTCTGCCATGTGCCACTTTCAGGTCTCCTCACACACTGCTGGTGTTTGAATTTTTTGACATAGGGTGCTGGCAGATTACGGGCCTCCCATAGCTGCTGCCAGGCCCCTAATCTGCCATGGGCCCCTATATACCCCCTCCTCATGCTGCTGCCAGGTCCAGAGTCTCTCATGGGTCCCTGTACGGCCTCCCATTGCTGCTGTCTCCATCGCCACACTCTGCCATGTGCCACTTTCAGGTCTCCTCACACACTGCTGGTGGTGTTCAATTTTTTGACATAGGGTGCTGGCAGATTACGGGCCTCCATAGCTGCTGCCAGGCCCCTAATCTGCCATGGGGCCCCCCCTATACCCCTCCTCATGCTGCTGCCAGGTCCAGAGTCTCTCATGGGTCCCTGTACGGCCTCCCATTGCTGCTGTCTCCATCGCCACACTCTGCCATGTGCCACTTTCAGGTCTCCTCACACACTGCTGGTGTGTTGAATTTTTTGACATAGGGTGCTGGCAGATTACGGGCCTCCCATAGCTGCTGCCAGGCCCCTAATCTGCCATGGGCCCCTATATACCGCCTCCTCATGCTGCTGCCAGGTCCAGAGTCTCTCATGGGTCCCCTGTACGGCCTCCCATTGCTGCTGTCTCCATCGCCACACTCTGCCATGTGCCACTTTCAGGTCTCCTCACACACTGGTGTGTGTGTTCAATTTTTTGACATAGGGTGCTGGCAGATTACGGGCCTCCATAGCTGCTGCCAGGCCCCTAATCTGCCATGGGCCCCTATATACCGCCTCCTCATGCTGCAGGTCCAGAGTCTCTCATGGGTCCCTGTACGGCCTCCCATTGCTGCTGTCTCCATCGCCACACACTCTGCCATGTGCCACTTTCAGGTCTCCTCACACACTGCTGGTGTGTTGAATTTTTTGACATAGGGTGCTGGCAGATTACGGGCCTCCCATAGCTGCTGCCAGGCCCCTAATCTGCCATGGGCCCCTATATACCGCCCCTCCTCCTCCTCATGCTGCTGCCAGGTCCAGAGTCTCTCATGGGTCCCTGTACGGCCTCCCATTGCTGCTGTCTCCATCGCCACACTCTGCCATGTGCCACTTTCAGGTCTCCTCACACACTGCTGGTGTGTTGAATTTTTTGACATAGGGTGCTGGCAGATTACGGGCCTCCCATAGCTGCTGCCAGGCCCCTAATCTGCCATGGGCCCCTATATACCGCCGCCTCTCATGCATGCTGCTGCCAGGTCCAGAGTCTCTCATGGGTCCCTGTACGGCCTCCCATTGCTGCTGTCTCGCGCCACACTCTGCCATGTGCCACTTTCAGGTCTCCTCACACACTGCTGGTGTGTTGAATTTTTTGACATAGGGTGCTGGCAGATTACGGGCCTCCCATAGCTGCTGCCAGGCCCCTAATCTGCCATGGGCCCCTATATACCGCCTCCTCATGCTGCTGCCAGGTCCAGAGTCTCTCATGGGTCCCTGTACGGCCTCCTCATTGCTGCTGCCAGGTCTCCATCGCCACACTCTGCCATGTGCCACTTTCAGGTCTCCTCACACTGCTGGTGTGTTGAATTTTTTGACATAGGGTGCTGGCAGATTACGGGCCTCCCATAGCTGCTGCCAGGCCCCTAATCTGCCATGGGCCCCTATATACCGCCTCCTCATGCTGCTGCCAAGGTCCAGAGTCTCTCATGGGTCCCTGTACGGCCTCCCATTGCTGCTGTCTCCATCGCCACACTCTGCCATGTGCCACTTTCAGGTCTCCTCACACACTGCTGGTGTGTTTGAATTTTTTGACATAGGGTGCTGGCAGATTACGGGCCTCCCATAGCTGCTGCCAGGCCCCTAATCTGCCATGGGCCCCTATATACCGCCTCCTCATGCTGCTGCCAAGTCCAGAGTCTCTCATGGGTCCCTGTACGGCCTCCCATTGCTGCTGTCTCCATCGCCACACTCTGCCATGTGCCACTTTCAGGTCTCCTCACACTGCTGGTGTGTTTTTTGAATTTTTTGACATAGGGTGCTGGCAGATTACGGGCCTCCCATAGCTGCTGCCAGGCCCCTAATCTGCCATGGGCCCCTATATACCCGCCTCCTCATGCTGCTGCCAGGTCCAGAGTCTCTCATGGGTCCCTGTACGGCCTCCCATTGCTGCTGTCTCCATCGCCACACTCTGCCATGTGCCACTTTCAGGTCTCCTCACACACTGCTGGTGTGTTCAATTTTTTGACATAGGGTGCTGGCAGATTACGGGCCTCCCATAGCTGCTGCCAGGCCCCTAATCTGCCATGGGCCCCTATATACCGCCTCCTCATGCTGCTGCCAGGTCCAGAGTCTCTCATGGGTCCCTGTACGGCCTCCCATTGCTGCTGTCTCTCCATCGCCACACTCTGCCATGTGCCACTTTCAGGTCTCCTCACACACTGCTGGTGTGTTGAATTTTTTGACATAGGGTGCTGGCAGATTACGGGCCTCCCCATAGCTGCTGCCAGGCCCCTAATCTGCCATGGGCCCCTATATACCGCCTCCTCATGCTGCTGCCAAGTCCAGAGTCTCTCATGGGTCCCTGTACGGCCTCCCATTGCTGCTGTCTCCATCGCCACACTCTGCCATGTGCCACTTTCAGGTCTCCTCACACACTGCTGGTGTGTTGAATTTTTTGACATAGGGTGCTGGCAGATTACGGGCCTCCCATAGCTGCTGCCAGGCCCCTAATCTGCCATGGGCCCCTATATACCGCCTCCTCATGCTGCTGCCAAGTCCAGAGTCTCTCATGGGTCCTGTACGGCCTCCCAGTCTCCATCGCCACACTCTGCCATGTGCCACTTTCAGGTCTCCTCACACTGCTGGTGTGTTGAATTTTTTGACATAGGGTGCTGGCAGATTACGGGCCTCCCATAGCTGCTGCCAGGCCCCTAATCTGCCATGGGCCCCTATATACCGCCTCCTCATGCTGCTGCCAAGTCCAGAGTCTCTCATGGGTCCCTGTACGGCCTCCCATTGCTGCTGTCTCCATCGCCACACTCTGCCATGTGCCACTTTCAGGTCTCCTCACACACTGCTGGTGTGTTCAATTTTTTGACATAGGGTGCTGGCAGATTACGGGCCTCCCATAGCTGCTGCCAGGCCCCTAATCTGCCATGGGCCCCTATATACCGCCTCCTCATGCTGCTGCCAAGTCCAGAGTCTGTCATGGGTCCCTGTACGGCCTCCCATTGCTGCTGTCTCCATCGCCACACTCTGCCATGTGCCACTTTCAGGTCTCCTCACACTGCTGTGTGTTGAATTTTTTACATAGGGTGCTGGCAGATTACGGGCCTCCCATAGCTGCTGCCAGGCCCCTAATCTGCCATGGGCCCCTATATACCGCCTCCTCATGCTGCTGCCAGGTCCAGAGTCTCTCATGGGTCCCTGTACGGCCTCCCATTGCTGCTGTCTCCATCGCCACACTCTGCCATGTGCCACTTTCAGGTCTCCTCACACACTGCTGTTGTGTTTTCCAATTTTTTGACATAGGGTGCTGGCAGATTACGGGCCTCCCATAGCTGCTGCCAGGCCCCTAATCTGCCATGGGCCCCTATATACCGCCTCCTCATGCTGCTGCCAAGTCCAGAGTCTGTCATGGGGTCCCTGTACGGCCTCCCATTGCTGCTGTCTCCATCGCCACACTCTGCCCATGTGCCACTTTCAGGTCTCCTCACACTGCTGGTGTGTTGAATTTTTTGACATAGGGTGCTGGCAGATTACGGGCCTCCCATAGCTGCTGCCAGGCCCCTAATCTGCCATGGGCCCCTATACCCGCCTCCTCATGCTGCTGCCAAGTCCAGAGTCTGTCATGGGTCCCTGTACGGCCTCCCATTGCTGCTGTCTCCATCGCCACACTCTGCCATGTGCCACTTTCAGGTCTCCTCACACACTGCTGGTGTGTTGAAATTTTTTGACATAGGGTGCTGGCAGATTACGGGCCTCCCATAGCTGCTGCCAGGCCCCTAATCTGCCATGGGCCCCTATATACCGCCTCCTCATGCTGCTGCCAGGTCCAGAGTCTCTCATGGGTCCCTGTACGGCCTCCCATTGCTGCTGTCTCCATCGCCACACTCTGCCATGTGCCACTTTCAGGTCTCCTCACACACTGCTGGTGTGTTGAATTTTTTGACATAGGGTGCTGGCAGATTACGGGCCTCCCATTGCTGCTGCCAGGCCCGTAATCTGCCATGGGCCCCCCTGATACCGACTCCTCATGCTGTGACGTTGCAACAAGGTGGAAATTCAACCCTACATATGTTAGACCGCCTTTACGAACAGCAAAAGGCCATCACAGATTTCCTGATGTTAAAAGCGGATAAAGGTACTCCCCCTGTGTAACTTAGATGTCAGCCATTGGCAGCTCATGCGTGACACCTGCGCTTGCTCAGGCCCTTTGAGGAGGCCACGCTATTCGTGAGTCAGGACTATGGGATGAACGACGTCATTCCTCTGTTGCACGTCCTGGAACAAAAATGCTGTTAACAAATGGCTGGTCAGGGTGCGGTAGACGTGGCGCACAGATCTCAACGCCACATGACCCCTGGGGGCAGGACAGGAAGAAGAGGAGGAGGTAGAGGAGGACATTGGTGCTCAGGAATTATTGAGTGAAATGGGTGGTTTTTCCACTCAGAGAAACAGGGGCGGACAGGAGTGGAGGAGCAGGAGCATCTGGTAGTAGAGGAGGAGGAAGAGGAGAGACAGAGGACCCAGACGCACCGTGGCAGTATGCTGTGGAGATGGAGGCAGGGAGTCCCTCGCATTCCTTGGCACAAATGGCCCATAGCATGCTCGCTTGCTTGTGTACCGACAGCCGAATAATAACCATCAGACAGGGGATGACTTTTGTGGCTGTCCACCTTGTTGGACCCTCGCTACCGTTCAAAAATGGTGGCCTTTTTCACACCTGCTGAGAGGGAGGCCAAAATAAACGTACTATAAAAAACCACCTATGTAGTCAGCTGGGTCTCTGCCTGTCTGCGCCAACGTCCATCCTCAGACACTGTGGGCCCTTGTGCGCTCGCAAAAAGTTACGCTTGCCATGGCAGCAGGGGAGGGGTGGGGTGGTAGGAGCAGTGGCAGCTCCACCATGCAGCAGCTGCCTCAGTCTGCAGTCCGATGATGAGTAGCTTTCTTCACAGCGCAGTGAGGAAACTACTAACCAGCCGCAGCAGCAGCAGCAGCAGCAGCATCAGGTGGACCTGGAGCAGACATACCTCAAACAACAGGCTTAGGCCTTACTTGGACAGCACCCTGCCAACCGAGGTAGACAATCCCCTTGACTACTGGGCAACGAAACTTGACCTTTGGCCCCAACTAGCTGAATTTGCCTTGAACAGGCAAGTCATGCCTCAGCCAGCAAGTAAGCGTGGCATCGGAGCGGCGTGTTTAGTGCGGCAGGAGGTATTGCACTCCGCGGAGGACACGACTGTCCACTACAAAGTGTGGAGAGACTGACGTTTGTGAAAATGAATCAGGCGTCATGATTAGTCTGGATTTCAAACCACAGTTCCTGACACAACTGACTAAATCCCGCCATGAATCATGCCCCAAACATGTGCCACATTCAGGTCTCCTCACACTGCTGGTGTGTTTCCATTTTTTGTCATAGGGTGCTGGCAGATTACGGGCCTCCCATAGCTGCTGCCAGGCCCCTAATCTGCCATGGGCCCCTATAAACCGCCTCCTCATGCTGCTGCCAAGTCCAGAGTCTGTCATGGGTCCCTGTACGGCCTCCCATTGCGGCTGTCTCCATCGCCACACTTGCCTGCCACACCTTTATTTCTGCCATGTGCCACTTTCAGGTCTCCTCACACTGCTGGTGTGTTGAATTTTTTTGACATAGGGTGGCTGGCAGATTACGGGCCTCCTATAGCTGCTGCCAGGCCCCTAATCTGGCCATGGGCCCCTAAACTAAACCGCCCCTCAATGCTGCTGCCAGGTCAGAGTCTCTCATGGGTCCTGTACGGCCTCCCATTGCTGCTGTCTCCATCGCCACACTCTGCCATGTGCCACTTTCAGGTCTCCTCACACACTGCTGGTGTGTTCAATTTTTGTCATAGGGTGCTGGCAGAATACGGGCCTCCTATAGCTGCTGCAGGCCCCTAATCTGCCATGGGCCCCTATACCGCCTCCATGCTAATGCAGGTCCAGAGTGTCTCAATGGGTCCCTGTACGGCCTCCATTGCTGCTGTCTCCATTCGCCACACTCTGCCATTGTGCCACTTTCAGGTCTCTCACACACTGCTGGTGTGTTCCATTTTTTGTCATAGGGTGCTGGCAGATTACGGGCCGTCCCATTGCTGCTGCCAGGCCTGTAATATGCCAAGGGGCCCCCGTACCGCTGGTCACGCTGCTGCTGGCGTCCACAGTGTGACATGGGTCCCTGTACCGGCCTCCCATTGCTCCACTCTGCATGTGCCACTTTCAGGTCTCCTACACTCCTGCTGGGTTTCCATTTTGTCATAGGTGCTGGCAGATTACAGGCCTCAAATAGGTGCTGCCAGGCCCCAAATCTGCCATGGGGCCCAGTACCCGTACCACCCTCGTCACGCTGCTGCTGGGTCCACAGTGTGACATGGGTCCCTGTACCGCCTCCCATTTGCTCCCACTCTGCCATGTGCCACTTGTGAGCTCTCCGTCACACTCCTGCTGGTTTTCCGATTTTGTTCATAGGTTTTTTACTGTATGGCCTCCATTGCTGCTGCCTACCACCACACACTGTGGCTCCAATCACTGGTTTTGGCCCCGCCCGACTGGGCCAAATGAGTGATTTGTGTGCGGTGATTCTAAGATCGACGGCACTCATCTGCATGTCATACTGGACTGACAGTATTATTTCTCTTCTTCACCCAGCAGACTCCAAGGGCATTTAAATTAAAGGTACAGTGTTCTGCACTAATATTAAGTCTCTCTGAAGCCTAGAAACACCCTTTTTTAAGTTAAATTCACAGCGAATATATACGACTCGAATCGAATATTGTCCACGAATTCGCCGAATCAGTCGAAATCGAATTTTTGAATACTTCGCTCATCTCTAAAAACCAACCCCAAACCCTTCTAACGGCTGCAAGTTTGACCCTCAGATAGAAATAAATTACGAATCCTTCTACTACACAAATACGATCTCAACCTCCAGATGATCCAAATCCTTATTTTTACGCCCAGTGTAATAAAGCAACCTCACTGCTATCAAAAACAGTTAAACAAAAATGACTTAGATCAAAGATTGTAAATGTCATCACCCAACCATATCAAAACGCTAACTCACTAACCCACAGGATATATCGAATGCATTTGCGACATTACTACCAACAATTGTACAATCTCAATAATGACCTTGACACATGCCAACCCACAACTGAAAACATTCAAAAAATTTTAGACACTACCAATCTTCCGCGTCTTACACCATCTCAGCTTACATCCTTATCACTACCAATTTCTCCCACAGAGATACAACGCTGCAATATCAACATTACCTCTTAACAAAAATCTCCAGGAAATGACGGCTTTACAAATGAATTCTACAAAACATTCGCACCCAACCTCACACCAACACCTATCTTCATTATTCAACCATGCTGCCACCACAGGTACTTTCCCCACTGAAATGTTACAATCCATCATCACCACAATACCCAAAAACCAAATAAAGACCACCAATTAGTTCAAAACTACAGACCAAATTTCACTATTAAATACGGACATAAAACTATACGCCAAACTTATTGCACAAAGGTTACTTCCATACCTCCCTACACTAATCCACCCAGATCAAGTGGGCTTTATCCCTGGCCGACAAGCACCTGACGCAACTAGGAGAATTATATCCTGATACACAACCTAGAATCTACTAAACAGCCCTCACTACTTTTGTCCCTAGATGCCGAAAAAGCATTTGACCGAATCAATTGGCTATTCATGAAACTCACCTTACAGAAATTTGGGATTATAGATTGGTTATTATCAGCAATATTCTCCCTATACTCCAATCCTTCCGCCAAAGTTTTAACCGACGGCACTCTCTCACAAACCTTTCAAATCTCCAATGGCACTAGACAGGGATGTCCCATTATCACCCATAATATTTACATTACTGATTGAACCCTTAGCATCCAAACTCAGAGACGACCCCTCCTTTACAGGTATCTCCCATCTTGGAAACAGAACATAAAATTAGTCTATTTGCCGATGACATTATTCTCATGATTACCAACCCTTACAACTCACTCCGTACGATACGCACTCATCTCCATAATTACTCAGACATCTCTTACTATAAACTTAACGAGCCAAAATCTTCCATTTTGAACTTATACACCCCACCTAGAATCCAGAATTTAATCCGTAACCAATTCCCTTTTACGTGGGAACAATATAATATCCCTTATTTGGGAATTAAACTTACCAATACAACAAACCAACTATATAATGCTAATCACAAACCATTACTCAACTCTATTCCGCGAGAACTCAAGCATTTACGTACATCTACCCTCTCAACACTGGGCAGACTTGCTACATTGAAAATGTGTATTTTGCCGAAAATACTCTACATCTTCCGAACTCTTCCGATCCCAGTTCCCAATTCCTTTTTCTCCAAACTCCAGACGATCCTCAATAAATTCACATGGGACTCCAAAAAACCTAGATACTCGACAAATTTACTAATACATTCGCCCTCTAAGGGAGGTGCAGGACTTCCTCATCTAAAATCCTACTACAATGCCACACTTCTAGATCAATTATTCTTTTGGTGGCACCCTACTAAAGACCAGACATGGTCCAACCTTCCTCCCCTAAAAATATACACTTGACAAATTATTGTTCATACCACAAAATTCCAAAACACTCCTACAAATCAAACACCCCTGTATGAAGGCCACCCTACAAGCCTGGTTTGAATTTCTATCATCAAAAACACCCAGATTCTGAATTGAAGAGAACCTATGCACCTATCTCAACCCTGCATCTACTCATCCCCCTTTTTTGAACCTTTCAAAATGGGAATCCAACGGAATAACACATATACGAGATATATACACCAACCACAAACTAAATTCCTTCACTACTCTCCAAACAAAATATCACTTACCTGATAATGAAAATTTTAATTACCTAAGAATATCCCGCTTCCTATTCACAATGGCCATATCTTCAGAACTAACAATCCCCGCCAAGGCCTATATCTTTTTTCACAAAACACAGTATCCTAAAAAGGAATCTCGACATTCTATAAACTACTAACTAATGCCCAATTTGCCATAAACACCACCTCACTCACTAACTGGGAAAGCAATCTTCACCAATCAATCTCCCCACATATATGGGCAAAAACCTTCAACATTACATACAAAGCTTCCAAATGTAGCTCCCACTGGGATTCATACTTAAAAACATTACACCAATGGTACCTAACACCAGTTAAACTCACTCTTTTTTACCCCCAACACTCACCTAAATTTTGGAGGCACTACGAAGAATTAGGCTCGATCACTCACACACTATGGCAATGTAAATCTCTTACATCATTTTGGAATAAAGTGTTTCAACTAATTTCTTCAATAGCAGAATCCCGCATCCCCCCAAATCCAGCCTTAGCCCTTTTAAATATAGGAATAGACAAATTTCCCCCAAACACACGAACTATCATAATCCACATATTGGCAGCGGCAAAAAATAATGTCACCAGATTGTGGAAGTCCACCAAAATTCCTGCTTACTCAACCCTTATCAATGACCTAAATTACCAATGCGAAATGGAAAAGAGAACAGCATCACGAAACCTCACATACCATAAATTCCAATTCCAATGGTCTCGTTGGCTCAATGACCCTAACTGCTCTATTAACTGATATCCATATAATATCATTACTACTAAGTACATAACGCTTGACTGGTACTCCCCCCTTTCCCCTCCCTCCCTTCCTTCATCCCCGTCCAACCCCATTCACAATGTATTCCGAAACTACTAGATTCACATTAGTTTATTCTTATCTACCAATAATATGAAAACAGGGCCACATCTTTCCCAGCCAATTGGTGGGAAAATACATCCTCAGGTTATACATACCTTATGTACCACCTCATTCTAATGTGAACCACAGTGTATTACGTTTTGTATTACTGCATTTGTGTAAAAAACCTTTCAATAAAAAACTATTTGAAGTTAAAAGCATTTACAGGTTACCCATTTATATTTACACAGGGGGTTTAGTGCTAGAATTACTGCCCTCTATCTGACGTTCGCAGCGATACTTCACATGCATGGTGCAACCGCTGTTTACATACAGGCATGGGGTCAACGCTTGCGCATACAGGTACCTGCGTGGGAAAAAGTGCTTTTTTTAGTTATGTTGACTTTTTTATTATTTTTTAAACTGTCCCTTTCATTTTTTTTATCACTTTGATTGCTATCACAGGGAAAGTAAATTTCCCCTGTAACTGCAATGGGCATTGACAGGTATTCTTTTTTGAGAAATCTGGGGTTATTAGACTCTAGATATCTCCTCTGCCCTTACATAATCTGATGTCACCAAGATCAGTGTGATCAGATGCTTTCCCACTTTACAAATGGCGCTGTTAAAGTCCAGCGAAATGGAAATGATGAAATGTTCGTAGCTTCCAGTCTCTTAGACCATAGAGATTATTGGAACCATTCTGGTCTCTGATCAGCTCTATAGTCAGCCAGAGAAACTGCCGGCTGCATTCCCAGATTCCCCTGTGAGACAGAAGAGCCCAAGAAAACTGTGGAAGGTGGCAGGAGAGGGGGGGGGATGTCCCT